TTGACTCCAATGGAGAGACGCCCATTGGCCCCAGCTGGGGATCTGGCCTCATTGACTCCAATGGAGAGACTCCCATTGACACCAGTTTGGGCTCTGTCCTCTCAAGATTTCTAGATTCTTGCCTCTCTTCCAGGCCTCTTCGACAGGTCGGGATGGGATGCTGAAGCTGCTGGCCAAGGGTGTGGAGAACGTGAGTTACGAGGAGCTTTGTCTGCCAGATGACCTGGAAGCTCGTGGTGTCAGTTCGCTCCCCAATTACTACTACCGGGATGATGGCATGAGGATCTGGACAGCAGTGGAGAGGTGAATCCAGGGGGTGGGGATAGTGATGCTGCGGATGTGGGGGTGGAGAAACCACAGTGGAGCTGGGGCGGAGCAGTGAATCTCTAGGAGAAAACAGAGGTAGTGCTTTCTCAAGCCCTGTCCACAGACCAAGCCCCACCCACGCATTCCCCTTCAGTGAGGTGCTGCTCCTAGTAGAACATCACAATGGGGGTCATTTCTTTCCTCTGTAATGTGCTTTCATCCGCAGTGATGTAGTCATCGGGAGCTGGAAATTGTTGTCCTTATGTGTCAGAGTTAATGGCACATGTGGGGAGCACCTCACCACCCTCCTCTCAAAGCAATGGGCTCAGGCTCTCTGCAAACTCAGGCAGCGTCGCTGCATCAGGTTACATTCAGGTCACAGTCTGGAGGTTTTCTTCATGTTCATGAGGCCTGAAGATTTGGGCTCAATCCACAGCTGATGTGAATCTGTGAGACTTCAATACACCTGTGCTTATTCACACCCACTGAGGCTCTGGTCCTATCATTTTTATTCATAGATTCTAAGGCCACAAGGGACCATTGTGATCATGTACTCTGATCTGCTGTCTCACGTAGGCCAGAAAACCTCCCTAAAATAATCCCTAGGGCTGATCTTTCAGAAAAAAAAGCACCCAATCTTGATTTAAAAATTGCCAGTGAGTGAGAATCCTCCATGACCCTTGGTAAATTGTTCAAGTGGTTAATTACTCTCACCTTTAAAAAATGACACCTTATTTTCTGTCGGAGTTTGTCTAGCTTCACCTTACAGCCATTGTCTCTTCTTAGACATTCTCTGATTGGCCGAAGAGCCCATTTTATATATTTGTTCCCCATGTAGATACTTATGGACTGTGATCAAGTGATTATAGTTTGCTACAGTCAAATTTAGAACCCCACTGTGCCAGGCGCTGCACAGACCCTGACAAAGATCAGAGCCCGCGTTGTGCCAGGCGCTGCACAGGCCCTGACCGAGATCGGTACCATCAGGGTGCTAGGTGCTGTAGAGAGAGACACCCACGGACAGAAGGTTCCTGCCCCAACCTGCTCACAATCTAAATAGACAAAGGGTGGGAGAGAGAACCAATGGAAATTGTTTCCGTGAAACTTTTGATTCTCTCAAAAAAGAGCTGTTCGCTCAGCTTTTGGCTGAAAAATTTCATGTGGTTCAAAATTGAGCATTTTTCACAAAACACCAGAAACCCCAAAAAACCCTTTCAATGATATATTAGGTTTGGGGTAAAAATACACCAGCTGGGATCTGGCCCTGTTGATTTCAGTGGAGTGAAGCTGATTTGCATCTGGCCCTGTGGAGCCGCATCAGTTTACACCAGCTCATGATTTGGCCCCCGTGACTCCAACAAAGCAACGGGCAGTTACCCGCACTGGGGCTCGGGCCCATTGACCCCAATAAAGAAATGCCCCTTGATAATAGCTGGGAAACTGGTCTCACTGAATCCAATGGAGTGACACCCATTTACACCAGCTGGGGATCTGACCTACTCCTCTGTCTTTCCTAGTCCCTAGTGCATGGGTAGGTTACGGGCCAGGACAGGGATTTAAGCCTTTTCCTCGAGCTGCTGAGACACGGACACGTTCCCGCAGGCAGCTGGGAAATGCAAACAGCCTGGGCTAAATATCACTGGGCGTGACGGAGGCTTTCCGAAGCTAGTTGATCCACCGAGGCTGAACGTGGCTTTGGAAAGAGATTTTTGCCAACAGAATTGGGGGTTTGTCTCAGGGACGCAGGGGAGGGAGCACAGAAAACGCTGCCCAGGTGAAATTCGCCTCGGCTGAAAGCTTCTGAAAGGGACAGACGCTTTCTGGGACGTCGCCCTTCCGGCGGGGCAGGAGCGATCGATAATAATCGTTGCCCCTCGCGCCGATCCTTGTCAGATCTCTAAGGGCTTTGCAAAGGCAGGCCAGGAGGGTGACCCCCCTTTGAGAGAAACGGAGGCAGGCCAGATTTGCAAGGGTGCTTTGGCATCCGCCTGACAGGGCACGTCTCAGCACTGACAGGCTCCCTAAAAACCACACGGGGAGAGTTAGGCATCAAAGAAGCTACAGGCCACTAGGCAGAGCTTTGGGTGCCTAATTGAAGGCTAGAGGGCGGTGCCTGATTCATAGCCACAAATCTTCCCCTGGAATGAGGCCCTTAAAACAGGCGAGTCCTTTCCTCACAGGGAACCTCTCCTGCCACCCAGTTATTGCACAGGGGTTGGGGCACATCCCTGTGTTCAGATTAACAGGCTGCAGAGTGGGGCTTCAGACCTGGGTCTACCACATTGCAGATTACTGCACTAACGACTAGGCCAGCAGGGGACACAGGCCTTTTAGAGCTGGTTCCTGTTTTTAATGTGAGGCCTGATCCCTTGGGTCTTCTTATGCCCATCAGATCCCCAGCTGGCATCAATGGACAAGTCTCCATTAGTATCAATGGGGCCAGATCCCAGCTGCTGTCAATGGGCGTCTCTCCATTAGTATCAATGGGGCCAGATCCCAGCTGGTGTCAATGGGCGTCTCTCCATTGGAGTCAATGGGCCAGATCCCAGCTGGTGTCAATGGGCGTCTCTCCATTAGTGTCAATGGGGCCAGATCCCAGCTGGTGTCAATGGGCGTCTCTCCATTAGGTGTCAATGGGCCCAGATCCCAGCTGGTGTCAATGGGCGTCTCTCCATTAGTGTCAATGGGCCCAGATCCCAGCTGGTGTCAATGGGCGTCTCTCCATTAGTGTCAATGGGGCCAGATCCCAGCTGGTGTCAATGGGCGTCTCTCCATTGGAGTCAATGGGCCATTTCCCAGCTGGTGTCAATGGGCGTCTCTCCATTGGAGTCAATGGGCCAGATCCCAGCTGGTGTCAATGGGCGTCTCTCCATTGGAGTCAATGGGGCCAGATCCCAGCTGGTGTCAATGGGCGTCTCTCCATTGGAGTCAATGGGCCAGATCCCAGCTGGTGTAAATCAGCATTGTTCTATTGGCGGCAGTGCAGGCCTGACATCTTGATCAGGACACCCAGAACTGTGAGATACCCTGTTACCCTGCAGCCTCAGCAAGGACTTGCCGAGTGAGATTTTGATGTCTGGGCTGGGCAGGGGGATCAGTATAGGTGACCAGAGTGTGGTTAACTTCCAGGAATCACTGAAATCACATCAGTGCTATTAGCAGCATCCTGCCACCAAAACAAAAATATCTCTGTGTGGCAAACGGCCACAACTG